CTGGTGGTCAGTGCATATCATAGCGACCGGTCGTTCCACTGTCCAGTCAATTTGCATATTATCTTTTTATTATATAGGATATGAGATGACAGTCATTGTGACCATCTTTGGAAACTACAATCTGCCATTTAAAACTTTTTTTTAAAAGCCCTATCAATCCTAAAAAGGTAAGAGGTTAGGGGGAAAAGCATTGAAAAAGTGAGGCAAATGGCACAAAGTGAAAAGATACAGAAAATTATCCAGATATATAATAATCATAATTCCTGAGATCAAACTCACTCATTAAAAGACATAGAGTTAAAAAAAAAGTTATATGATATTTATAAGAGACACCTCTAAAATGTAAGAACAAAGAAAAGAAAGAAAATAACAGCAAAATATTCATGGAAAATTCTAACCTGCAGAGAGAAATAAGTTAGCTAATTAACATAAGTACATAGACTTTGAGACCAAAAAACTCATTTATATATAGAGTCACTACAAAAAAAACTCACTTGATAGTCTTAGTACACAGAGATAATATCATTAATAATTTTCACAGTATTTTAAAGCTTCTAGTGCTCAGAGTGAGAGAAACCAAGTAAGCATCCACGTGTACAGATTGACCTTTCAGTCGCGCTGACTCCTTATAATGTGTTCCATGTAGGGACAGGGCAGAAGAAAATGTACCTGAATATTAACTATGGTTGACTTGATGAAGGATAACTGAGTTAATTTTTCTCTCTACTTTCCTATATTTTTCAAGTTTTCACTGCTGAGTACATATTATTTTTATACCAGTGGAAAAACTTGAAAAAAAAATAACAACTTTCTAAGTCTCTTTGGATTAAGAATTTTCCAGAGATCCAACAATCAAGTAAGTCCAGCGTCTTTTACTAGTTATGACAGCTGATTTTTATGGCTCTGGTTTCTCAACTTGGGACTAATTAACAAGCATGATTTCTCTGTTATCAGTCAGCTCTTGTTATCAATGAGCCCTTACTAAGCACCTTCACTTTGTAGGTTGATAGCTCAGACATCGAATGAAAGCTTACAGCCAGGGCCTATGTATGCTCTCCTGGAGAAAACAAGACAGACGGACTGATAGGAAAGGTGGAGCAGGAAGACAGCAGCAAATTTCACAACAGTGTAGAAGGGGCAGAACAGGAAAGAGAAATTCAGTGAAGGATGTGACGAGAGACCAGGGATTCACAAACCAGCTAATGGTAATGGAGACGGTTTAAAGACAAGATGAGATGGAGAAAAGAGAAGAGGTCAAGAATGGTTAGTGAAAGGCAGTCACTGAGGTTTCCCCATTTGCTCTCTGAGCGGGGTTAAGTACACTGAGGCATAATAAGGGTAGAATAGAGAGCCATAGGGAACAGACAGTGGGACATTATCATTTGAGAAGTCATAGTCTTGGATGGTAGAGAAGATTTACACACACACACCATGACTGAGGCCTATAAGCCACTCTCATTCAAACAAATTAGTGTAATTTCATAAATTGGATTTTTTTTAAGGGGGTACAAAAATTATTCAAGTAGGTTACACAAATCTACTAATTAGACTATCACTGTCCCTGTTGTTTTTTAAAATGTGCCTTTAAAGGGCCCCTTTAAATGACCCTTTCTGTAAAAATGAGAGGAGTTTCAGTGTATAAAGCAGAAGGCAATGGAGCAATTACTCAAACACCTACTCAGACCTTCCTTACAGTTCCGACAAAGAGAAGCCATGTCATGCCAAATGCTCTCCAAGTGAATTTTATAAATGCCACACAGCTCACCTTTTAACTCAGAATTCAAAACATTCCAAACATGTTCTCCACAGCTGGAGAACAATCATTGACTGTTTTTGCATAAGGCAGTATCAGGCAAAAATATTTCCTTTAGATCAATTGGAGCAAATAGTGGTCTAGTATTTGTAGAGGACTTAACAGTATTAAATAGTTTCATGCACATAATCCTATTTCTTTCTTCAAGCCATCATCACTCTTCCTAACCCTTCAAGACCTCTCAACTCCCAACCCCAGCTTAAAACACTTTAATGATTTTCCATTCCCGTCGATTATAAAGACCAAAATCTTTATCCTGGTATCTAATCTCCACCTCTAACTTTATCTCACAATATCCTTTGCACTTTAGCCACGCAGACCTTTTATCAGTTCCTCAAATGGGCCTCAAAAAGGACTTTTGCACATGCTTGTCCATCTGTGTTAAAAGTCCTTTTCCACTCCCCATTTTGCTGGTTAATTCCTCCCCTTCCTTCCGTTTTCAGCTCTATCGTCACTTCCTCAGGGCCGCCTTTCCTAGGCTCCCTGACCATGTCAAATCTCTTTAAGGTAGCTCTACAAGCCTTCCTTTCTTAGCACTTAACCCAATTATCATTATATATGTATTTGTATGACTATTTGAATACCTTTTGTCTCTACCAGTAGACTGTAAGTCCTGTAAAGGTAGCAACTATATCAATTTTTGCTCATCAGTGTATCTATAATAGAAGCTCAGCTAATGACACATATATTCCACAATATTGAATGAATGAATACATGAATAGTCTCTATGTAGAGAGAAGATGCTAAATCTACATTGGATAAGTGTAGAAACTGAGTCTCACAGAGTTTAGGGGATTTGCTCAAAGGGCACAGAATACAGGTATTTGATTCCAAGGTGATTCTGAGGTATCTGATTTCTGATTTCAAGACCAGGAAATGCATTATTCCAAGGACTGGGAAGTGTTGCATGGCACACAGCTAGGTGCCTAGGGCAAACTTGTTGAACAAAGAAATAGAAACAAAAATGAAAGTAGCAAGGAATAAATGATGAACTTCAACATTGTTTTCAGTGTGAAGAAGAGTCTCAGCTGTGGCCCTGGGCAGGCCATGTCACCTTTCTAGGACTTAGCTGAATTTTGAACTAGATTACCTCTGTTTTCTGAAAACCTGAGGTTCTATGCTTCCAAATTTCTCATAACTTTGGATTCTAACATCAGGCACCTACATGTGCTGGCTGAGTTCCTTGGCACCCAAATTTGACTCTCTTTTGGATCATTTTCAATGTGTTCAAAGAGCAACTTTCACTATTCAACAAGAGGCAACTGGAGGAGCAATTACAACAAGGATAACAAAAAAGGTTATAAAAACAATGGAAGGTTATTTCTGCTTCAGGTCACAATCACCCAACTAGCCTACAAGACCCTTGAAGATGGGGACTATGACTTATTCATCATCACATATGCCAAGTATACCTGACATCTAGAAAGTCTATTGAGTTAAATGCTAGGTAGCAACTAATCAGTAGATAAATTTATTATAAGAGATGAGTCCTATTACGTCAACCCATATAATAAAGTTTATCTTATCAGGGAGTTTTTAGTGTCCTCACTTTAAACCCAAAGAAATAACTCCAATGCTAAGAATTCTAAGCACTCTGATATGCCAATAATGGAGTTTTTAGAAGAGGTAGAATATTATTCTATTTCTTACCTCTTAGCTAAAATTATTGAACTTTTGTCTGTGTCAGGCACAAAACTAGAGCTTTGCGTGCATTATCTCATTTAATCGTCACACAACCTGTGAGTTATTATTATTCCCATTTTCAAATAGAATAGTTGAGGTGTAAGTAATGGAGTTACTTTCCCCAGGCCACAGGTTTAATAAGTGTCAGGGTGGGGATTTGAACCCAAGTCTTAAAGCCTACACCTAAAACCTGAACTCTTTACCATGCTATTCTCTACCAACTATGACTGTGGGTCATAGTCTTTAATGTTTATCTTCACCCCTTCTTACTTTTAATTTACTGTTCATTTTACTCACATAGAACCTTTCACTTAAATATTTCATAATTCTACCTGGCAGAACCTCACCACCTTTACTAACACTTACTATCAACATTTTTAAGGACTTCCTTTACTCCTCAATTTTACACATAAGAAAACTGAGACACAGAGCAGTCACATAACTTGGCCTAAGTAACAGAGCTAAGAGGGATGAGAGCCCAGAGCGAACCCGAATGCAAGCATACACTTTCTTAGGGCATTTCCGCGTCATTTGGAAGTCTACACGTCAAGGTGTCTGCACTGTTACCCAGCCTGAGTCATTCCAATGGCTGTGAGCAAAATCACCTATGAATGTAAGTGCCTTATTTTTCAAGAAAAAATCCCCATATTTCCTTGTTTATAAAAAATTTGCTAAAATCAATCGGTGCCAAGCTGTACTTTCACATCATCTGCTTCCTTTAGGTCAGTGGTTCTCAACCTTGGCTGCACATTAGAATCACCTGGGAATCTTTTTAAAATCCTGATTTCTGGGCCTCATCCTCCGGAAATTCTGTTTCTTTGTTACTAATGTTGTGGCTCCACCCAATAACAAAGAAAAAGAATTTACGGAAGAATGAGACCCAGAAATCAGGAATTTAAAAAGTACCCCCAGGTGATTCCTATGTGCAGCCAAGGTTGAGAACCACTGCTTTAGGTGGTCTCAGTTCTGCTTTCATCACTAATTAGCATTGCCCTACACTAGACTTCCCTTGATCCTTTCAGGAAAACAGGTAAATAACCTCAAATCCATATTCATTTTCCTAGTTGGTCAGATTGTTTTTTTCATTTACGAAGAGATAATTGTCTACCATCATAGAAGTTTCATAAATAAGATCTTTTTTTTATTTAAATATATTTTTTATTGTTGATGGTATTACAGGTGTCCCCATATAAGATCTTGATATAGCCATAAGCACTCACATTTGCTGAGTCTTTATGTCAAATGCCAGATGCTGTGCTGAACTTCTTCGCCCAGATCCAACGTTTATATCATCTTTTATTAGCCCTGTGTGGCAGGTGAGAGGTTGAGAACCTTGCCACAGGGCCCACGGCTGCACCTCAGATGTGTCTGATTCGTGAGTCTGAATTCTTAACCATTCAACTTACTCTCGGGCCCTGCTTCCACTATTCCAGTCTCTTCCCCACCCCATCCTTGTAATTAAGGAAAGTTATTGACACAGAAAAAAAAAAAGTAAACAGAGTACCTGATAAGGCCCAAGTCTTCTCCATTCAAATCTACCATTTTCAAGACTAGCATTTCCTTGTCTGTATCCGAAGAATACCTAGTCACCAAGACGAAGAAATGTAGTCAGTTTCATGTTAGAACCTGGGCACCATGTCTGACAAACAGCAGAAGCTGGCACAGAAACAAAAACCAACACGCCTCTCAGGAAGCAAGGCTCCCGGACATGCGGTAGTTTGGGGCCTGCACCCAGGACCTCAGTCCTCAGCTGAAGAAATGGCTTGCAACTGTGACCAGAGCGAGGGGCAATAGGTTGGCTCACTGGAGGTGAAATATACATGTTTATGTAATATACTCACTATTATATAACATGTATTTCTTTCAAAAAGGATTTCTTTTTGAAATTTCTACTCAGATTCCATTAGCAGGAAATATGCAAAATCAAAAGCGTTCAGGACCTGTGACTTAAAATGTTTTTAGGTCCTTTCACTCTTTGTCTATTGCAGACAAATGTAAAATGTCAAGTGGTCAAATTGAGATATTATTTTACATTGCCATAGTAGCCAAGTACCCTCTTTGTTGTAAACCTGACTCACCACTTAAAAAACTAATCATCTCCCTTAATTGTTCCATTCAATTATTCTCATTTTATTTCTTGTTCTTTCAGTATTTTTACTCAGTTATCTCCTTTCTCTTGCCACAGTCTCTTGGACTAAGATGATTTCTTCTGAATAACAATAAAAAGAGCTACTCATTAATTTAACAAATACTTGTTATGCACATTTTTATCTCCATTTAACAAACCAAGAAACTGTGAGCCAATAAATAAAGATAAGTAAATCACCTATCATCATCACCATATATCCTAAAGGTCACCCAGCTAGGAGTGACAAAGCTAAGATGAAACCACAGTTATGTCAGATTCCACAGGCAGGAGTCCTTCAAATATTCACACTGAGTCTCACAGCCCTCAAAGTAGGAAGACAGGTTGCTGTGTGTTTTCAATGTTTACTTTTTATTTCTGCTTGTCTTAGATTATCAACATGTTTTTAAATTATTTTAGCTCTGATACTTTCTTAGGATCCCATCATATTCAAGTAAACAACCCTGTTTTAGATTCTGTCTCTCTCTCCTAAAGGAAACATGATTTCACTGTGATAATTACCCTCCTCACCTTAATCTCTCTGCCAGTGGATTCTGAAGGTAAGAATAGGGGCTTCGGTTGATCTGTGTGCCATCCACATTTCCTTTATTCATAAAGATCTTTCCTGGTTTCATATTTTTGTGTGCTATCTCAATGCTCTGTGGGTTTTGAAAAAGAGAGAGCTGTCAAGTTAGAAATCCTATTGGGGATAATGATTTCCTCGATATAAACAGAAGAGACCTGTGGGTTGTTTCCTTGGTCTCCAACCTGTTCCCATTTACAGAGGAAAGCTGGAGAACCACATGGCTGTGTCCTTTGGAAGTAAACAGACTGGCCTTCAGGGCTGAGAGAGCGAGAGTGCTCCGTGTGGAGAAGCACAGTGCCCATCAGCACCGCTGGTGAGTCAGCACGTCTGCCAGTTCAGATGCCCAAATGGGAGACTCCACTCCTACAACATGTAGGTATTTCCACCCTCCCCACCCTCCCTAGCCCACCACCTTCTCAGACAGAGTTTTTCAAACTTTGAGAAGCACAGTAAGCAATACAGTTTCCATCATAACTTAATACGTATCAGCATATATATATTCTAAAATAAAGTTCACAATGTGTATGATGCACGATGGTGTTCTCCAATTTTTTTATTTGTTTTATTTTTTATGTTTATTGCAATCCATGAAATTGATTTCATAAAACCATTTATAGGTTGCTAGCCACCATTTGAAAAACAGTGTTGCAAAGAAATGTCTGCTTTTGCCAACTAGGTCCCTGGATTTGGGGGTATGGAGGGGTGACTTTACAAGATAAAGTAGAGAGAGACTACGCCTGAAAGGCAAAGGAATGAAGAAGAAAACATTATCAAGGATCCTGTGCAATAAGGTAATAAACTGGAAGACAGGAGAGAGAGGAGTACCAAAATGTACCCAAACTATGAGTGGGAGAAAAGTGGGGGGTACTGGTAGGAGCACCATGTCAGCCTAAAGCTGTTGTAGAGGACTTGAGAAATTTACCAATTAGATCTCCATTTGGGCTCTTCGAGAAATACAAGGAAATGTTTGGAAACACAAGGAAAGATTGGAATTATTTGTAATGTTGGTTCCTTGATGGGTTGGTGTCTTTTTGTGTGACTTCGTGCAAGAACAGACCATGTGGGGCCCTATAATTTGTAAGGGTCACATACAAATTGTTTTCTGTCTCTTTAGGTGACTGTGTGAAGTTACTGCCATAGAGTCCTCCTCTCCCAATAAGTGCCTCAGGCTACCAGCCCAGAGCTCAGGACCAGAGTTACCAGGGGGTCATGAAGAGGGAAGGGAGGACTGTGCTCAGACGAAGATTCTATAGAGACTGTCTCCATAGCACACTCCTAAGACACTGAGCAGTGGGAATGGGAAAGAAGAGCTGCCTACCTTCATGATGCCAGTGACCATGTAATTAAAAGTTCGATTGCTAAATCCTTCGCTGGCAATCACAAACACGGTGTACTGGAAATACCCTGCCGGACCCGAGTGCGTGTGAGTGCCGCTCAGGATCACATTGTCTCTTCTGTACAGGGAGCCATATTTACTCTTGAGTCTGTTCAAGACCTTCAAGAAAGAAAGAAAGAGAACAGAACTAAGAGGTGAGATATCACAGGAGCTTAGCATAAGAAAGGCTCTGATTAGCCCAATCGCTGATCCATACCAATGACTTCGCTGTCTGCCCAGGGGCCCTTCACTCTCTAGATCATCATGGTATATCTACAGTGCATACATAGTTTATACAGGTATATATAGCTTCAGTACATCATCATAGTAATAACAACAGTCATAGCAATAGCTAACATTTCATAGATTCTTGCTATATGCAAGCACACACAATGCTAGGTATTACATACATTATGTCATTTAAAAATCACAATAACTTCAAGAGGTGTGTATTTTTAACTCTGTCTTTTAGCTGACAACATTGAAGTGTGCAGAAATTAAATAATTTGATCTAATAAATAGCAGAGCCTGAATCCAGGTCCAAGTCTCACTATAGAGTCAGTACTCTTCCCCATTCATCTGTTCACACATAGCATTAATATCCAGGCACCATCCAAGCATTAGGAAAAACTCTGAAGAAGTTTTTATTCTAATGAGAGAGAAAGATAATAAACAAAAAAGAAATATGTAATATTCTATTATACAGTGGTAAATGTTATGAAGCCAAATAGGAAAAAGAAGGTGATGGGTGTTCATGAGGAATGACCTTTCCAAAGAGGTTCCCCTTCATCAGAGCCTTAAATGAAGAGAGCAATACCTGGGCGAAAAGCACTGTGGGAGCAGTGAACAGACAGTGCAAAGTCCTCTTTACTCTACTGCCTCACTTCCCAACATGAAGAACTCAATATTCCCTGGCACCGACCATTACACTTATTGATCAGGGGGAAGCCAACGCTATGACCAACGACACCCCAGCAATCCCGTGGACAGGTCCTTTGGAAAGGAACCATCTGGTCAGCACTAACTTGCTAGCCACATGGGTAAGCAACCTTAGAGATCCTTCAGCCACGGTTAAGCCTTCAAACAGCTGCCATGAGTTCAACCTCATGACACGGAAGTGATACTACGTGACTTCTGTGGTAACGTAAATCAGAATCACCCATCCCCGCCTCTTTGGTTTCCTGACCCACAAAAGTCCTGAACAATGATATATGATTATTCCTGCTTTAAACTGACTTCTCCATATAACCCTTTGTATGGGAATATGTGACTACTAACAAAGAGACTCAGTAAATGTTCATTTAGTTAATTAATTAATGAACATCCAAATGCATGATTAGGGCCTTTGTATGATACATACACATAAAAAAAGGAAGAAAATTAATGATGTTGCTGAGTACCTATTTCTGATTATGCTTTAATCCATGGCAACCTAGAGTTAGGTATTATTGTGGCTTCTTTATGAAAGATGCTTTGACTTTTTTGTGTCAAAAATCATTAAAAGCAGCAAAAGCGTCAAACCCAAAGCAACCTTCCCCAGTGTAAGATTCTAACAGCTAATAGCAGGGACAATTACAAACGCTTTTATAGCAAAGATGGCAAATACTGCTCATCTCATGCACTCAGTCCTATTTACTTGTGTTTTCTGTCAGAAGTAGTGTGTGTTGAGAAGGATTCTGAATCCAAATCCGGGCTGAACAGAAAAGAGTACCTTTTTTGATTAGAAGTGATGTCTATCTGGAGTACGGCATTCACAGTGGTATCCTGATAATTGTCTCTTTGAAAGAAAGAAAAGAGCCCTCCTTTGCATTGTTTGCCAGTGTGTGTGGTATAAAAACTCCCACCATAATCAATTTCAAGCTACCAAAAGTTTAATAAACAGTTCACAGAGTTCCTGAATATTTAACGATCGGCTTTCACCAACTGGCACCTACGGGAATAGTAGCAGCAATGCATGTGCCATATATTTAATACACAGACATCCATTCAATCTCTTCTATTTTAGATGAAGAGCTACACCACTCTCATTCTAATCATGTGATCACTAAATCAGGAAGAAGATCTTAAAACCATCTTGTCTCATTAATCTCTCCATGCCCCAAACACCCATTGCTAGGTTACCAAATCCACAGAAACAATCTGAGACACCAGTAAAGCTTGGAAAGGAAATGTGATATAACCAGACTAACATCCCTCTGACCAAATAAGCCCCATTCGCCACCCAATAAATTTCCATGTTCCTTCTGTTTGATCCTAATTTCAACCCCAAATCTTCATCACTCTTAATTCTTTTCCATGCAGCAACTACTGCACTCCTGAAGAAGAAATTTGTGTAAGGAGAAGAGGGGACAATCAATGAAAGGGCATCATGAAAGTTTAACTAAAGTCGAAGGCTAATGTTCTTACAACTTTGTAGCCAAGATAGGAAGGTAGTGAAAAAAAGAACTGCCAGCCAACATTAAAGCTCCCCTAACCTTTACCCCATTTTTATTCCAAAAAAACAAAACAAAACTATAATGTGAGGATTTTAGAAATAAGTCTATTTCTTCAGGTTTATTCAAGAATCAATGAAACAGCTCACAGAAATCTTATCCTAAACTACAATCTCTGATACAATCAGACACATGGGACTTGCAAGGAAAAGAAAAGAAAAATAAATTAAGAACTCAATCATCTAATGGCAATGCCTGCATATAGCCATTATAAGTAGTATGTTGTCTACTTCATGAAAGGAGGGATATTTTAACATAGAACAAAGAAGCTATATTTGTGTCTACAGCTCCCTTCTTTTTCTGCAGTTTCCATTCCATTTTCTATCACTGACACTCTTGGGAACATGCCATAGACAGAGTTGGAAAGTCGTTCTGTTTTCCTGCCCTGCCTCACTCTCAGAAACCATCCTTACTCTTCATTCCATGCTTGAAATTTCATCCATCTTAAAGCTGAGACTGAGAACCTGCCTAAAATCAGGTGTAATAAGTAAGCTTAATGGCACTTATTTAGCTACATTTATTTTTCCCAACCTCCCTTGGGTTAACTGGGGATGACTAAGTGGGTTCATTTAAAGGCCTTGCCACTGGGTCTCAGATTGCACGGGGGAAGTAAAACTAGGAAGAGATGATTAAATGGTCCCCACTATTGACTTGATAGTGTCTACAATCCAACACATTAAACCCCTCTCCCCTCCATGCTCCACCCCCAAAGTCTACCTTTTAACTCTCCTATTGCTACCACTGACAACACTATTTCCCAATCAGAACCATCTTTGATTCTTCAGAAAGACAGTATTTGCAGTGGTAACGAGCATGAGCTCTGGACCCGAGGTGCCTATGTGTGAAGCCCAGCCCGGACAGCTCGTAAGTGTAATCTTGGACGAGTTACTTGATCTTCTGCAACTCGGTTTCCCAGTCTGTCAAATGACATAATAATAGTGTCTTCCTCATACAGTTGTTAGGAGGATATAGAACAGTGCCTTACTCATCATGGAAACGAAGTCAAGTGTTCACTTTTATGTCTATTCATTCCCAAATCCATTAGCACTTAATGTGACCTCTTCCCACCATGTAGTCTCACTGCCACCCCATTGGTTTAGAACTTTTGTGTGAGAGTCACATGATGTAGGGGAAATCGCCAGGCAGAGTTAAAATCCTTCCTGCAAGCCTATCTTCCCTTTGTAGCTCTTTCAGCCTTCCGACATATTATAAAACTCCCCTGTATTAAATCCCCCCTGTTTGAAATACCTAGTGTGATTACTGTTTTCCCAACTGGACCCTCACCAATAGAGCCTTGACATTAATTTAAAGAATCTGCCCATTTGTGTCTTCTCCTCTGTTTCTAGTCTATTCCAATCCACCTCAAATTCACCATCTGAGTAATCATTCTAATGCAAAATTGTGATTGCATCACCTTTCCACTCAAAAGTTTTCTAAGAATCCCCATCACCTACTGAATTAAAAACAACCTGGCATCCCAGGACCTCTATAATTATGAACACACCTTCCAGACACATCTCCAATCCCATGCCTATGTGTGTCCTAATAGAACTAACCAAGCTTTGTCTCTAGAGTCTATATTCCTCCCTTGTGCCTCTGTTCCTGCCGTCCCCTGCATTTCTCAGCTCTCCCTCCTCAGGTAAACCATTTAAAATTCTGCCCATTCAAGTGTCACTTCCACTTTGAAAATTTCCCCCCTAATTTTCATTTCCTGCATCTCCTCGTGGTGGTTTTAAAATACTGTATACCCACAGATTATATGATACTCTTGCCTTCAAGAAGTGAAATTTAACTTTGCTATCCCGGAGTGTGAAATGGGCTTAGCGACTTGCTTCCAATGAAGAGAACAGGGTGGAAGTGATGGTGTGCAATTCCTGAGCCTGGGTTAGGAAAGGCTCTGTGGCTTCTTCCCGGCTCTTTCGCTTGAATTAGTCGCTCTGAGGAAAGCCAGCGGCTCTGTCATGAGGATATGGACCGTGGGGAAGAGAGGCCCTCTGCCAACAGCCACATGAGTGAATATTCTTGGAAGTGGATCTTCCAGCCCCACTCCAGTCTTCAGATGACTGCGGTCCTTGCCAATATCTTGATTTCAAGATACCCTAAGCTAGAACCCCCAAGATAGGCCACTCCTGAATTTCTGACCCACAGAAAGTGTGAGATAACGAGTGTTTGTTGTTTGAAGCCACTATACATTAGGGCTACTTATTAATCAGTAATAGATAACTAATACGTCACTGTACTTTACTCCAGTAAATTAGTTATTTGCATATTTCCCTGACAGACCTTTCTTCTATTCCCCAACGAGGTAGAGAGCTCACAGAGGACATGGATTATGACTCACTTAGCTGTGTGTCCCCTGAATGACTAGCAACATGCCCTGCAGAAAGCAGGTTATCAATGCATTTTTCCCTCCAAGATAATAGAATAATGTTCTTTTAAGAATGTACACTCTGGGATCAGGTATATGTGTGAAGAACCAAACTTGACCAGTTTCCAAGTGTGTAAATTTGGAAAAGTTAATTGCCCTCTTTAAGACTCAGTTTCTAACCAGTTTGGCTCAGTGGATAGAGCGCTGGCCTGCGGACTAAAGGGTCCCAGGTTCGATTCCGGTCAAGGGCATGTACCTTGGTTGCAGACACATCCCCAGTGGGGAGTGTGCAGGAGGCAGCTGATCGATGTTTCTCTCTCATTGATGTTTCTAACTCTCTATCCCTCACCCTTCCTCTCTGTAAAAAAACAATAAGACTTCAGGTTTCTTTTATTTCATAGTTTCTTTATTCATAAAAAGGGGATAAAAAGGGGATAAAAACAGACCACCTCAGTTTTGTTGTAAGTGTAGGGGTGGGGAAATTACTTAATCTCCCGCTCCTCATGTTTCCATAAATGGAGAGGCTTCCATTCCATCCCCCACCACCAAGATAGAGTGACGTTGGAAAAGGTATTTAGGCCTTC